ACGCCTGACCTGTGACCTCGTTACAACCCCCATGAGGTGTTTGCCGAAGGGAGAGGGGTAGGAAATGTGTGCTCCAGCCCAGCGCAGACCTCGCGACACACTTTACACTGCATGTTTTATACAGTATATTGCAGGTGATATACTGTATACTGCACGTGTTACCTATTTGCGGAAATGTTACAACTTTCAAGATTCAGGATTCTATTTGCATTTATTTCTTATACAACAGACCGCCGTCATATATCACTGGAATAATGCTGAGAGCAGCGTTAAAACAATTTGTTTTCATAATGGGGCGCTGCAGTCATTTAAGATAGAACCGTATAATATGTAGTACCAATTCACTAACTCTGTTTCGAATATTCAGCAGAAAATATATTATTAACCAGGTCTTTGGGAAGAGATACCAGATTTTTATATCCAGTCACATAGGGATGATAAAGGACCCCTCGCTGATTAGGTTCTTGTTTACTTAAGAGCAGAGTTGGCCATGTTAGATGATATAACCAAAATCCAGGAGCTCCGGCGGGGGGCAAACTGGTCTTGATAGTGTATGGTATGAGCTGTGATGTTGACCCATGAGAATAATGTAAAAATGAGACCAAATCAAGTCTATAATGATTGGGAAAGTCTAGATTGTTCTGTGCTCCATTCTAATTGTATTATGTTCATTTTGTAGACATGGATGGACCAACCAGGACAGAAATTGATGGAATATTAATATCACATGTTACCACTTATCCAGTTAAATTCATCACACAATAATATATTAGTATTTGATATTACGAAGGGCCTGGTCTTGTACATGTTCACTCTTGTAATGTACATACCAGTCAACTTGATTATAATTTTTATTATAGTGTAGCGCGGCATCAACGATTACTAAATGACATCCTCACTTGTCATCGATGTTTGGGCATCGGACAATGGACGACAATTCGAAATTCTTATAAATAGCTTCAATAGGGACAGCACCGGTGTCAGTAAAATTTTCGTAGTTAAAAATATGTATCTACAAAATATAATCTGAAGCAGCCAAGAACAATATTTTTTTATTTATGCATACTTTCATGGATAGAATTGAGGCAATCTAGGCTTGCCAAATCGTTCTAGACTTGAGCTGGGTTCATTTTAAATTTATTCTCTATGGTCTGGGAGACGTACAAGGGCGTCAGTATCGCATGGAGAACTGCGACAGCCCGGGTTAGCGTAATCGAATATGTTGTGGAGTTTCGGGTTTGGGCTGTTTTCTGAATAGAACAAGGGCTCGCGAACAAAGGCACAATGTAGAGATTGAATCATTACCACCTCTCTTTATATCAGATATGTTATTGTGATTTGAAATCTCTTTTGGAGAATTGCGAGTTATTGCACACTCTGTATTCTTTCGTAATGGTAGAATATATATTTTCTATGTTGCTTTTTGAATTATCCACAAATAATGAGAACTACAATGTAAACCTCTCTCTGGAGATATACAATAATACTACTGAAGGGCATATCAGAAAAATTGGACTTATCGACAAATCTTTCTTTCTTAAATACTACCCGTTACAGGCATTCTGATCATTATATTACACTTTGTACAGTTTAAAAGTCAAATAATGGCAAATTGTGTTTCTTTCTACATTTTGAATTAATTATAATTTCTGCAATATAACCCTAGCATCAGATAGTGATATAAACGAATATGATCTATACTGTGATAAATGAATTATCAATTTCGTATCATGAATTACATAAACAGAAATATGATAGTAAAACAAACTATTTTAATCTGTTCGTGTGAGTAGGTAACGAGAGATCTAGGCAACTCACTAACGTAACCATTTGTGAAAAATGAAATATTCAAAGTTAAGGGGTTTGAACATGTACATTGAATGACAGGAAAGAAAGCAACGCAATAATTAAATTATGAATAATATTATGTTTTAAATATTAAACAATCGAAAACATTATAACTTTTTTTAATAATCTGGAGGAATAATAATGGCAATACTATCATAATTATCATCATTATTTATGTTACTTATCCTTAAGTGAAGTAGTCCTCCGCGCTATACATTCAGTGAAGAAGCCCATGAACATATTAACTATGTAACATACATTAATGGGAATTAGATGAACAGTTGAAGAACATTTCACGTGGGACCAACAGAGGGAATTATGAATATCGACTTGCTTATTATTTTTTATATTCATGCTAGCTTTAACGATCTATTGGTTTGATTTATTGTTATGGTATCCACAAAATAAGGATCCGATGTTTTCCCTTTTTGATGAAATAAAACCGAATTATATTTGCTGTTTACATATCAAAGTTTGCCAAAATGTTTGCCCACAGCAAGGCTACGTACTCCGAACATATTGTTGTGCTAGGCACAGTATAAATGGACTGAGGGAGGGCGGTATTCCTCCTTGTGGGTCACCTGCTTGGCAATATGGGACGGGATAATTGCATGGGTGAGGGCAGTTAAGTTGATGGTACAGACAGATAAAAGAGATCGTCTACAAATATGAAACCTCATTCCACAAAGGAAGAGGCGAAAGCTGAAACTTGGTGAGATTTACAGAACAAAGGCAGTTTATTTCTAGTTTCTTACTGACTCTCGAGGATAGATTTAATAAAACAATGTGTGTGTGTGTGTGTGTGTGTGTGTGTGTGTGTGTGTGTGTGTGTGTGTGTGTGTGTGTGTGTGTGTGTGTGTGTGAGGAAGAAGAAGAATTGTACAGCATAAAAATGGCTACGTAGTTCGGGTAGATATGTAGAATGCCCGGCCAGAATGACCCTTGAGTCACTACAGTTTCAGTCATTAAAATGGGTAAAACAGTATTGTAGTGAAAGAAAACATTATAAGTGAGTGAAACAAAAGACATCAGTACAGGCACACCCAGTCCCCCAACCCTAAGTCTGCATTTACCAATACTCATACCTGCCACATCCTCAACCACTTAACCTACTCACTCAATCATCTCACAACATGTTCGCCAACCCTCGTATCACAACGCGTGCACGCACACACATCGCATTCTTCTTTCCCCACCATTATGTCTACGTCAGCCATAATGGATCCATGCGCATGCTTTCATACATAAATCCATCCACCATTCCAAAACATCCATCGAACTATAACTATATCCGCCCTCATGTATCGGTATTCGTGCTCACATACATACACCCTCCTACCATTCACCTATATCCATCGCACTATACTATGACCATAACCGCCTTCGTGCATCCGCACGTATGTTCACATTGCATTGCATGCATCGAATTACACGTTTAAAATATCGTAAATATTTTACAACAACTACATATTAAATATCAGCAAACAGAGATTATTATAACGCAATAGATTTCATCCGTCAAAACATCACAGAAAGAGGGGCAGCCTTGAATTTTACAACGGCATCTGAATGCACTAAGAAGTTCAACTGGTCAGGAGGTGAGAGATGCGTAAGATTACGATAAACTTCAGTTACAGATCTCCATTACGAATATCTAAAGTGTGAATAAAGATCACAGCTTGCTATGACGTGTACTGTATTCCTGCAGAATTAGCAATGTCCTTAGCTCTAATATTTATGTCTAAATGCTCATGTAGACCCATATGTTTATAGGCATGACCATATTATATTCTACGCAAATATCACTACATTTAAAAACAACGCTAGATTGAGTCTTTGAGGGGCATTAAGAATTGATACACATAAGGAAAACTATTTATGGATGTCAACGTCTTTATTATGAGGAACCCAGCGTTTCGGAGTATATACTTACTCCTTCATCAGGTGAATATTATTAAATGCTATGAGACAGAGAACATACATATGTACCTGTAAGAACAACAAAAGTAAAAAGATAGCAAAGAAGGAAACGCAACAAGGGAAGCCAACAGATAATTGACGCTGATTACCCCGGCCTCCCGTTTGCCCATTGTCTATTTCCCATTACCAATCATTCATAAGTTCAGTTTTGGCTTTAATTTGTCCATCGATAATCAACCATCAACGTCTATTATCTGAACCCTATAAAGTACGAGAATATGAAGACTACTGTGTGAGTGAGTGAGTTGGGTTTAACGCCGCTTTTAACATTATTCCAGTTATATCAAGGCGCGTCAGCTTAATGTGGGAGGAAAGCCCGAAGTGATGCAGGTCTCAGACGTTTACCACTTCGGTGAAACCCACGAGCACGGGTATGGTGCTGACAAACCTAGAAACAATATCGGGGCGAACCGGGATTCGAACCCACAGTCATAGGTTTCTGGCATGTCAAAGGGACGCAACTCTGCACAGCAAATCGCGGCGCCTTAGACGACTGGGCCACCCGTGCCCCCTGTAGTTTACTGTGAAAGTGTTTTCCAAATATAATATGTGTTACTGTTGACCACTTTCTTAATAGCATTGTGGGTTCAAAGCTTTCGGCCATAGAATCCGTGCCATTTTTCACTTGTCAGAGGGGTACACAAAGTACGTAATCTGGACTAACATTAAAAATGCTTGACTTTGAGCACCTTGTTTTCTTTAAATACGATGTACCGTGACATTATAAAGTGAAGTGGTATATAGGTAGATATAACACTAATCTATAGATGTAAACACATTTGGAGATACGTCTGTGTGTTTAAAGTTGATTTTGACCACACGGGCCAAGTCGGACCCAACACAAGCCAAACACTTCTGATAGAGACTATGTTAGGAATTTAGAGGAAAAAAGGGCTTCACTTTGAGCCCCTTGTTTTCTTTAAGTACAGCGTTCTGAGACACTATAAAGTGGTATTTAGGTAGATATAACACTAGTCTATAGATGTAAACACATTTAAAGATAGATCTGTGAGGTTTAAGATGATTTTGACAGCCCGGTCCAAGTCGGACCGAACACTTCTGACATAGATTTTCTTAAGGAAATACAGTAAAAATGCTTTACTTTGAGCCCCTTGTTTTCTTTAAATACGATGTAACGTGACATTATAAAGTGGTAGAAAAGGTGCACATACCGGCAGTTGTTGAAAGCATCAGTAGCAGCAACCGTACGAGTAGCAGGTCGCCCATCATTGTCGCTTTCACAATGGCAGTTTTAAGCTCCGCTTCATTTCTTATGTAAGTCGCAAGAGTCGTGAGGCGCAGGGAGGCCCGGAGTTACTCAGGCATGTCACGGGCACAGGATCTACGGTAGCTACTCGGGGACATATCTCACAACAACAACGGGTGTGAAGACTCATTTGTTTGTCTGTTGTTTAACACCACACTCAGCAATAATCCAGCCATACGACGGCGGTCTGTAAATAATCGAGTCAGGACCAGACAATCCAGTGATTGACATCATGAGCATCGATCTATGCAATTGGGATACAATGACATGCATCAAGCGAGCCTGACCATCCACGTGCGGAGTTGACTCATATGGTTTTAAATATATTATGTATAGCCTGATTTATGTATGATCTCTCGCAACTATTTTAAAATGGCTTGTGTACTTTTATAATAGATTACCGCCTCTGTGATCTAGTGGTAGAGGGTCCGCCCGGAGAGAAGAAGGTCCGGGTGTCGATCCCCTGCCGCGTCATGCCAAACGACGTTAAAGATGGTACTTGTTGTTACCCTGTCTGGCGCTCGGCATTAAGGGGCTAAAACAAGGACTGGTCGGCTCGGAGTCAGTATACTGTGTCTGAGTGGGGTATTTATGTTAAACTGCGGCATGGTATCTCAGTGAGCTAGCACTATGAATCGGCATCAGTCCGGACTAGTACAAGCAGCCACACAAACACACACGTACATGCACGTCGCTATATAAGTGCAATCATCTTTGACGCAACGTTAAACCCCATTTCACCTTACCTTTATAATAGATTATATTATTTTATGTACCGGTATATATTGCTGCACATGAGGTGAGACCCTAATAAACTGTCTATCTGTCTGTCTGTCTGTCTGTCTGTCTGTGGATGTCAATTTATAGTACCTTTATGTATGTCGAACTCCATGAAAGTCAGCTCTGTCTTCATTGATACAAAGCCTCTCAAATGCTGCTTATAGATATAGAGAGCCAATACACACTGATATAAATAGCTTTATCAAGGGTTATTTGTAAAAGTAATCTTATCTGTGGTCTGGTGAACATGTTAATGAACAACAAGCGTTGACTATGATTCTGTGCTGAGCTGGAAGTGAATATAGCCTAGACAGCAAATAGAGCATTTCCTGTTTTTCATTTGTGGAAGGCGTGCGTAAATAATACATAAATCATTGAGAAGCAGTATTCGCTTGACCATAGAATCTCATCCTTTTGTTTTTGTTGTTCTGGGGTGAGGTAAGTGTGGAGTATACGTCTCAAAACGTAATAAATTAAGATTGAACTTTTGAACTTCTCTCCTGTTGTGTATCATCTACTTCAAACTATTGCATGCATTTTCATAGTGTACAAATAATACGTTTACTTTTGGGTCAACGTGAAATTAAACGTTTCATACAGTTTCACGGAGTAAACACTAAACCAACATACATGTATTACAACTTGTGATGCAACATGAGCAGATTAAGGAGATACTGGAAAAGGAATACATTGTGAGGAGAGGCCCCACTGACTGAGCTATTATACATAATGGGTAATAAAGATTGACAAAGAAGCCTAGTCAGGTAAGTGATAAAAGGTGTCATGGACCTAACTTACAGTGGACTGTCAGATAAGAGTAAGTGCAATCTGCCAACAGAGGGCGCTGGCACAACCTTTTCCAGGCTTGTCGGAAATAGCCGAATGTAAGATTGACAAGGCCAGAGTCACTCTTATTTCCAGGCTTGTCGGAAATAGCCGAATGTAAGATTGACAAAGCCAGTGTCTTTTTCCAAACTTGACGGAAATACCCGAATGTAAGATTGGTGTAAGTGTCACATTGTAATACAGCATATTGACTCAATACACGAATTACACATTTATAACATTCATTTTGTACGACAATTGTATTTAACACTTAGCAAACGTTGAGTAGTATATGGTACAATATATAATCGTCTTTGGTTACATATGTTTCAATGTGTACATATTAATGTTTATTGTGCGATTATACAGTGGCTATACATTGAGTGAAATGAAGCCAACGTAGAAGTTAGTAAATATTTCAAGATCATGAAACCGATGGAAATAATATTTGAACAGTATTAAGTAATACCACGGCATATCACTTTTTTCTGCGAGATACCTCCGACGTGAAGCAATGCCTTTACCTGGTGAAACCTACGAAGGTCAAATCTAGAAACATAATGAATACAAAGATAATGAATACAAAGATCGCAGTTTCCTAAGGCAATTTGCGGCGTTAACCATCAGCCACTTGTATCCCAACGCTCCTATGAAAGCAGTTGATAATGAAACGTGTCATTCAGAACGACTTATATTTACAGAAGGCAGTGTCCTGTTTAACCCCTCGGTGGAGAGACTACCCCAAAGATACTTTTTCTGAGTCTTGCGTGCTACAGTGTAAGACGATTGCGAAGATAAATATTTACAAATAACATCTTCGCCATAGCAATATTTACTTTTCTGTATTTTCTTTATCTGTAGAAAGAGGGTCACTAATGTTTTCCTACACTGTTGACACAAAACATGAACAGATCCATTGAGCTATTGATCCCATTTATTATTACTTAGGTCAGAGAGAAAACCAGGACCTTATCAAATCGTAAGTCCGTGTTCACAATTAGAAATTGCTATCGCCTTAATACAAAGATCGCTTAGTGGTACGATGTCCGAGTCTTAATTAATTCATACAACTGACACGGGTTGTCCTCCCTTACATGGCACGCTGCAGGGATTAACAAAGTTGATTCACTTGCAAGTGAGGCAATGTCAAGGATGACGGTTTCGGCCCGTGAGCGCAACATCTGCTGATTAGGCGGAACAATCATGGTGGCGCTCCAAGGACCAGGAGGGGCGTACACGCGGGATGTAATGTTCCAGGTACAAGGCAAATAAAACGAGTACAAAGGAGTACCGGTCATCAATTACATTACCGTAGTTTACCAAGTATACATTACTGGAAATTTACATGCATGGTCAAATGCACAGGGAAAGTCTCGCTTCTTCATCGTCTTGTTAACATTCTGCGCTCGAAACAACCAAAATGAAAAGATCAGAGATCTTTAATACGAGAGAGCCGAGCCGAAACTTGACAACAATTGGACACCTGCTGAAGGTAACAGCTCTGAGTACAATAATCGATGCATCTTACATGCTATTATGTCAACTCAAACTGTAAGTTGATACCAGACTAAGTGAAATGGTGGTGATAATTACGAATAAATTTAATTACGAGTAATTTCGGCGAAGAAACTGGTATGGTGAAAGATGATCTACAATCACGAACAGATACGGGCAGGCATTTTTTCGAAAAAAATAAATTATACCCTTACTCGGAAAAAAGAACTTGCCACAAAAAATACATTGTTGCAATGTGTTTTTCTTCACAAAAAATCAGGCTCATAGTTTTAAATAAAAAAAATATATCTGGTTTTGTAGGTATACCTGAGAAAATATCTATCTCGATATAAAATCCCATATGCCTACTGGGAAGGGATTGCTCTTTAGCGTTTGACCATTGCATTTAAGAAAGAAGAAAGAGTGGTGCCGAAATTGATGTTTGCGGACTTGTCACGTACGTCCGGTGCGCCCTGACCCGAATCTGTGGTTACGCAATATAACGCTCTCCTTTATGCTTGTAAAGTGATTGCAGCTGCACTTGACTAGCGGCAATAGGAACGAGATGTATTGTGCCTCGCAACTTGCCAATATAACGAATTCCTCTGTTAAGGTGAATTTATGGAATATAGAAGAAAACGTATCGAGAAATATATGCACTTTAATAATGCTATTGACAGGATACAACACAGTGTTCATGTAACACAATAAGTCAATCAAGCCTACACTCAGTTTGCTTTGCTTTGGATAAAACTGAAGCTAATAAGAAGAGGGCACGTTCGTCAGTTGGCAACAGAAAAAATAATTCCCACAGCAAGCCGCACTGGTCATTTGAACTTAAGGAACGGTGAGATGAATGCAATCTGGAACGGCAATTCAGACGTTGCAAGGAATGGAGCCAGAGATGTAGCCTACAAGAACAATATTATCTTCAAAGAAGACTGTTTGATAGACTCAACAATATACGCGTGCTTACTAATTGATAGAACATAATTTGCATAAGCGAAAATACACTGAGTTGAATTTCCATATTATCAATGTAAAATCATAAACCTCAATTAAATCTGAAAGCGTGCATTCCTTGACAGTTCACTCCCATGATGACTATTCCGTGACGACTATTCCCATTACGACTACTTAAGAAAAGAAGGAGGTAAAATTAGCCTACCTGGAATAATTGACGACGCCAGTCTCCACCTATACTCTTCCCATGTATAAAAGATCAATATCGACTGAGAGTTGTTGTTATTTTCGATGTATGATTTATTCTTATATTCTTCTTTTTTCCCAACAATCACAGAGAATACCTAACCGAGGAACATGTTTAGGTATTCACAATAGCAACAAAAATGTTAGTGGATAATACAACGAAAGCTATGTCTGCATTATAAAAGAAAGCACGAAATATTAACTTGCCTCTTTATTGAATGTTTTCAGCATTTTTAATGTATGGTTCATGATCAGAAACGTAGGGATTTGAAAAAACAAATTTATTCAAAGAGTACATTTAACCATTTAACATTTCTTACAATTTACAGCTGGTCCTTGTTACTCAACACCAATTTTCATGGCCTTCTGTCAATTTGCAAGAGGACAGCTGTATGTTAAACTGTAACGACACATTATCACATGTAACAAACATGATAATACCAAAATTAACAAACAGTTTGAACCAGTATATCACCCTCACTGGACCCCATATTGATGATATTAATAAACTCCCATGAATTTGATTGGCGAAAGAAATATTTGTGATTGTGAACTTACTGAATTGTTTGATAACCTGTTTACATGTTCTGCACACTGGCTGGCCTCTTTATTTGTTGGTTTGTTGTTTAACGCCGAACTCAGCAATATTCCAGCTATATGACGACGGTCTGTAAATAATCGAGCCTGGACCAGACAATTCAGTGATTGACATCATGAGCACCGATCCACGCA